TTGCATGCGTCCCCCCGCCCATTTCGGCACATCCCTCACGAGGATCGCGCCCCATAGGGAGCTCCACCAAAGGCCCCGCCCCGCAGGGAGCTCCATCGAAGGCCTCAGCGGCAGGGTTTGTATGCGTCCCCCCGCCCAGTTCGGCGCGAACCTCAGGAGGATCGTGGCACCATAGGGAGCTCCACCGAAGGCCCCAGCGGCAGGGTTTGGATGCGTCCCCCCGCCCATTTCGGCACACCCTTCACGAGGATCGCGGCCCCATGGGGAGCTCCACCGAAGGCCCCATCGGCAGGGTTTGCATGCGTCCCCCAGCCGATTTCGGCACACCCCTCACGAGGATCGTGGCCTCATAGGGAACTCCACCGAAGGCCCCCGCGGCAGGGTTTGCATGCAGCCCCCCGCCCATTGTGGCACACCCCTCACGAGGATCGTGGCCCCACAGGGAGCTCCATCGAAGGCCCCAGCGGCAGGGTTTGCATGCGTCCCCCGCCCATTTTGGCACACCCCTCACGAGGATCGTGGCCCCGTAGGTAGCTCCACCGAAGGCACCTGCGGCAAGGTTTGCATGCGTCCCCCCGCCCATTTCGGCACACCATTCACGTGGATCGTGGCCCCATAGGGGGTTCCACCGAGAGCGGTAACCACAACGCGGTACTCACAGCTGCATATGTTTGGGTCCTTCGCCAGGATCATTTACGGACCTTTGGTGCCGTCCCGTCTTGGAAGCGTCTTGAGGCAGTCTTTTGCCGATCTTGGTGGCATCATTGGCTGTCTTGGGGCGTCGGGAAGCCGAAAAGGCTGGAACGCCAGAATCTTCAACGCCAGGATCTTGGAGCCTTTTTGGTGTGTTCTTGAAGGCCTTTTCGAGCGTCCTGGAAGCCGCTTGGGCTGTCAGGAGGCCAAGTCTGGTGTCTCGGACCGATTGTTCGGCGATTCGGGGCCCTCTTGGACCGTGTTTGGGCCTCTTGGGGTGTCTTCGGGCATTCTTTGGCCCCAGGGCCCCCCCCCGTGGGGAGGATGGTGTTCTGACCCGGGACCCCCGAGGACCCCCCCAGGAGCCCCCTCTGGGGGGGAAGGGATCAAAACGGAGGGGGCGTCTCTTCGACTCAAACTACGACGCTACCCAATTTCGCTTTGGTTTCGCTTTGACTGGTTCGCTGGAGGTGGAAGGCCCAGCGAAAGGGGGAGGGCAACCGGCGACGGGTCCAGGGAAAGGGAGGTCAAACGCGACGGCGACGACGAGGACGACCTCGACGACGACGACGCGGACGCGGACGCGGACGAGGACGCGGACGAGGACGAGGACGAGGACGAGGACGAGGACGACGACGACGACGATCTCGTCGAGGCAAGCAGAACAACTTCTCCCACACGCCGACAGGGTCGGCGGATTTAGATGCTCAGCGTGTCCATGTGGTGTTGTCAGCATTTCCCACCCCAGGTTCAGGCATGTTTCTGCATGGTCGTATGCTGCTCTGCGCTCGCAGCACGTCAGCTTGCACAGTGTGTGTGTGCACATTCGCACTTGACGCGCGCCGTCGAGTCAGCAACCAGTTGCGCAGTATGTCCGGCATGGCGTATCCTCCCGAGGACGCAGCTCTGGCGCTGAGCCCGGCGAAGTTCAATCCGCCGAGGGAGCAGGACCATGCGCGCCGAGGATGAGAAGGCGGCGGAGGAGGAGGAGGAGGCAAAGTGAACAAAGGAGGAGGAGGAGGAGGAGGAGGAGGAGAAGAAGGAGGTGGAGGAGGAGGCTGAGGATGAAAAGGAGGCGAAGGAGGAGAGTTACTGGTTTTAGGCCATACGCCCCGATCGATATGATCCAGGTCGCCTCTGCGATTGCTGATGACCGCTCGAGCACGTTTCTGACCAAGGCGCTGGGAAGCAAGATCTGCGAAACCATAGCCCCAGCCCCTTGTGAAACCTCAACTGTGACTTTCGTGAGCGACCTCTCGCGATGTGCACCCTACGCCAAGGAGGAAACTCATTAGTTACACCAGGCGTATGAACGAGTTCAACATACGGTGAGCTCAGTCGCTCGCTCTTCTCAGCAAGTAATGTCGTGGCACCGAGAGTAGCTCCTGGCATTATCCTTCTTCAGGCAGGACTGAGACGCGACCGCGGCACACATACTGGCAGCTGGGGGTCTAACCACCTGGGGAGCCCGGCGTCTGTGTCGCTGGTGCCCTCGGATGTTGCGAGGTATTCTTCGGCCTGGAAGGCTTCGAGCGTTTTCTGCAGGATGCGTACGCGTAGAACAAGAGCCAAGTGCTCCACCCGCGGCAAGCGTGTCAGCACAGGTGTTGCCGAGGATGGGGAGGCGAGGGCCAGCGCTCCACATTCACCTGCTCAGCTTCTGAGTGCGAGTTGGTAGACGACGCGGTGCAGCTTAGATTGGCTTCTCGCGATGCAGCTCAACACCGATACGCCACTACACATCAGCACCATTGCTTGTTCATTGCCTGCATTTCTGCTTCTTCCAGCCCGTACTCACGGCGGAGTTGCCGGTGACGGGTGTCAGGTGCCCATCGCTCTCACGGAGCCCTGCCCACAGACCAGGCGACTCTCTTCGCACGAGGGTTGGCCGCTCACCTGGAAGGGGTCCCCAGATGCTACCGTCGAACCGCCCTGAGAGCGCGAGCCCACGACCACCGCGTCGCAGGCGAGGGCGGTGCGTCACTCTGTCCTCCGCTCGCATCCGGGATTCGTCCGAGCAGTGCCGATCTTCACCCGAAAGGGGGGGGGGCTTCGGCCTCGACTCGCGGCCGTGGCAGCAGGGCCCCCCTCTCCGTTCCCACGCCTCGGCCTCGCCCTGGGCAGGAGATCTTAGATGGCACTGCTTCGCTCATTGGATCTTGCGGGTGGTCGCTCCTGCCCCAGTCTCGACGCATTGGTGGCATCTTGGGCATCGTTTCAGTATTTGCTGCTGGCCGCGCGTTTGACGACGAGCCTAGTGGCACTGGGCTCCTGTGGCGGCGGCGAGCATCAATCCTGCAAGACGTTTTACCGCCATGAGCCTTTTTGAATTGAGGAAGAAGTTTTATGTGCGAGTAGTTTCATATGCCGTCTGCCATGCCCGAACTAGCTGGCTCTGGAGTGATTCTTGAAGCAGCGTGCGTGGCCTGTGAGTGTACGTGCACTGAAGTTCAAGCTGCCACTGTTATCCAGAATGGTCCACGAAAAACAGGGGTGTCAGGGTGCCAGCCTGCATTGAGAAGGTAGTTGACCAACGTACTGGGAGGCCCTCGTATGTGTCGACAGCGTCGAGCAGCTGGGAGCCTGCGCACGTCTCCGATTACATCCTCAGGGTGAAAGTTTTTCCCTTGGGGCCTGGACATGGTGCCTTCAGCTCTTGCTCCAGCGCGCATGACATAAATCTTGACGGATCCAATGACGTGAGAGCGGATCCGAATACGGTTTGGAATTGTGTTGCGGTAGCCTCCGCGCGGGCCCGCTTCGGATGTTTTTTGGCGGCGGGCCCTGTGGGGAAGCGAGAAGGAGAAGGCCTTCTCAGAAGGCGGCGGGGCTTCTCAGAAGCCCTCCGGCCTTCCGAGAAGTTTTCCGTGTCGTAGGGGGAAGCCGGGGCGTTTCTTAGGAGGCCCAGGGACTTCCGAGGCTTCCGAGGAGGCCTTCTCCTTCTCACTTCAACCCTGGGCTCGCCGCCGAGCTCTGGATCAGATTTCAGTTTTTTTTACCACGGATCCTGTTCATATGATGTTCTTATTGTTTTTGTTTGTCGCTACACCTTAGGCGATGCTTAAGAAAACCTAAGTTTTCGGCCAGAGTCTCGATTATTCTTAACTTTTCAATGTAAATCCCAAGATTTTGATAGAAATGTTGGGTTTTTATTCACTTTCTGAGACTATGAATTTCTTAACCCATGATTTCTTAAGCATTTCGCAGGGTGTATGCTATTAGATCAATTCAGGTGGCGGACGGAACTCAGATCTGCGGCATCCAAACCCGCCGCTGTTAAGGTTTTGTGTGGGACATGAGGTTTGGTTGCGACTTCTCACAGACGGGTCGCGCGTTGTTTCACGGGCCCCATCAGCCGTCCCCGCGCGCGGCTCGCACCCAACAAGCTTCTTGGCGTATGCTGGGCCATCGCAGCACGCGAAGCCGATGACAGTCAAGAGCTGGGCGCCGCTGGTGCAGCAGCACCTGAAACGCCAACGCCTTCGGCCTTGCCGTGGCCCATGGCAGCGGTGACACCGTCGACCGCCCTTCGGAGCCTGGAACTTCGCCTGGGACAGGCGATCGACCTCGCGCTTGAGCTCCTCCTCGCGGGCAGCCCCCTACGCTGGGGTGCCCGAGCCTGCTCAGCGCTGGCCGCCGCCGCGCCGCCGCTGATGTCGCCCGGTGCGGGGGAAGCGCCTGCAGCGCTCGCGCCGCCCGCTGCAGCGTGGCCGCATGTGGATTTGCGTTTCTGGTGCATGCGCTCCTGGACGCTGGGGTGCGCTTGCCTGGCACGGCCCAGGAACTTTTTCCACTCCGGATCCTACTCCTTGAGCGTGCTCCGATTCGGGCTGTGAACAGGGCTCGCAATGAGGCCTTGCCGGTCTCCTCGCAGTCCCCGTTCTTGAGCTCTTCGAACCAAGCATCATTCTTCGCGATACCGACAGCCGCTCGCGGTGGTCGCAGGCGATTGTTCTCCCCCAGCCCCCGTTTTTTCGACGAAAAATTGAAGCCGTTCGGAAAAGAAGGGAAACCTTGGGACACACCCCGAGAGGGCCATTCGGACGCATCCTTTTCGCATGCCCCAGGGTTGGGTTGGCGACCCATGCTAAGAAACACCCTGCTTGCCTTCAGGGTGCCCTGGTCTTCTTGGGTTCGATGGTTTCGCTATCGACAGCGTGACGTTACCACACCAAACAATCGATGGACGCACTGGGGTCTCAGGGTGTTGGGTCTCTCGTGGAAGGTTTCTTGTGGACTGGCCTCCACTGTAAGCTCCGTCTGTTTTGTTTACCTGGTCGACCTCGGCGGCCGTGCACGGCGTCGCCATGGCGTCGATCCGTGTTTCTGGGGCGGCCCGTGCCGGGGTCGCCACGGACCCGTTCCGTGCTCTCTGGGCGGCCAGCGCGGCCTCGAGTTCGGACGCCTCCGACTTGGACAGCGCCTGCTGGAAGAGCGACAAGACCTCAGCCTGCGCCTGCGCTGTGGAGGACGATCAATGGAGAGGAAGCATATTGCCCAAACATTTCCACTTGTAAACATATTCTAAGCACGTAAGCAGCATGTTTTAAACATTTTTAGAACATTTTTCTCGTTATCGTTTAACCAATCCCCATCCCCATCCCCATCCGCTTCGAGACCTCCACCTAATTATCACCCCGGTTGGGGATACACCCTCGAAACCCGAAGGCAACGACCCATGTCCCCATCTAGGGGGGTAAATCGGCCAGTGGGGCCCAGGCCACTCCGCTGGGGATGGGGATCGGTTGAACGATATTCATTTTCTAACATTTTGGAACACATTTCAATGACAGGATTGTTAGGGTGTCCATTGCCATGGCATCCACAACGCCTGCGCCTTTGTTCTCTCGCCGCCTCGCCCTCGAAGGGAACTTGGCGGCGGTCGAGATCAGGCGCAGGAGACTTCGGATGTAGCCGCACTTCGCGATAGCACCTCGACCAACGACACTGATCGAGGAACAGCTTGTCGCTCACTTGTTTGACCGAAGCTGCACTTGGAGACTGCTAAGACAATTCCCACATTTTGTTTACGGGGCAATCGACTGCGGGGGACAGACAGGTACCGTAATCCCTGAAGCACCTCGCGAAGGAGCATGCCGACGGGGAGGAGGAGGAGAAGCAGGAACACAAGCAGAAGGAGTTGAGGAGCAGGATGCACAAGGGGAGTAGGAACAGGACGAGGAGGATGATAAGCAGCGGGAGGACGTGGACGCCTCGGAGGAGTGCGCTGAAAACGAAGAGGGACGAGGGTGATAATCAGGTAAACATGGAACAGGGACATGCAGTGGAGATGGATAAGGAGTAAGAGGAGGTGAGTGAGTGCTCTGGACGAATATTATCCCAGCTTGCTTCTTGCCCGTAATCGCCAGCAGCACAGCCATCGAGAAGCAAGGGAAAGTATCCAACGGTTCCAGTGGGGTCAGTTCCTGAATCATGCCTTTGGACAAGGGGGTCGTGGGCTCGGCAGTTGGCAGGCCGACGATGTTGTAGTCGCGGTTCTTCAGGGAGGAGACGTGCGCGGGGAACATACGATAATAATTGTTGCGTGCCTGCATCTGATCTGACGCGTCATCATGCTCATCTCTACCTGTGCCACTCCATGATGGCGGGTGCCCAGGAGCTCAAGATGGACTTGCGTTGGAACATGCAGATTGTTACAGGCCTTGCTCTCCTTCTTCGGTGGCTCCCACAGGGGCAAGCAGCCTGGGGTGGGGCCACTGCACGTCTCCGTGTTCGAGCGTCGTCCAGTCGCGGGGCCGTTGGAGCCCTGGGAGGCACCCGTGCTCCCCCGTGGCCATCCGCTCAGGTTGCCACCGCCGATTTTTCTTCCCTCTTGCCGGATGCGTGTCCGCCGAGCTTCTCCTTCCCCTTCTCTGCGTAATTTCGGGCGACGAAATCTATACATATCCACTGCTCCCTGGCCAGGCCCATCCTGAACCCAGGAGTTGTGCATACGCCCTCCTGGCCACGCCAGGAGGGCGCAGCGTATACACAGCTGCTGGGTTCAGGATGGGCCTCGCCAGGGAGCAGTGGATATGTATAGATGTCGTCGCCCTATAATTCAAGCTCTGCGCGGCCCGCTTAGCTTCGACCGGAAGAGGTGCGCTCTCGACCCGCGAATCCAAAAAAGTGTCCGCCGAGTGTTTGCGGAAGCCCGCCCGATCACCGGGTCCGGCGTCGCAGGGCCCCATCCGACCCAGCACGGGCACACGCTGCCTTGGCATCGCTCGGACGTGCACACCCTACACGATGCTCAAGAAAACCCAAGTTTTCGGCCAGAGTCTCGATTATTCTTGATGTTTCGATGTGAATCCTAAGATTTGAATAGGCATTCTGGGTTTTTAGTCAATTTCTGAGACTACGAATTTCTGAACCCATGATTTCTTAAGCATTTCGCAGGGTGTACCTTTTTTCTCGGCGAGAACCACCGAGGACCATCCTGGACCCTCGAGCAATTATGACACGCACGACATCGCAAAAGGCACGGGAAGTGGGCGTCCGAGCGGCGGCAACTTGCGTATCTTGCGGGACAGGGGTCAGCAGGAGCTGGCAGCGTACTGCACGTGCCGCCACCTCCACGACCGAGCGCACCCGCGAGGTCGTGGTCGACTTTTTTTGTTGGAGGGCCGCGGCGATGGCACGACGTGCGGTGGTGATTCTGTCTCCGCTCCATCGCTGGCCGAGCGCTCCCCCGAGCGTACGGCCAGCTTGGATTGATGTGTTCACCAGCCTCGAACTTATCCCTACACCTTAGGCGATGCTTAAGAAAACCCAAGTTTTCGGCCAGAGTCCCGATTATTCTTAATGTTTCAATGTAAATCCCAAGATTTGAATGGAAATTTTGGGTTTTTATTCAAGTTCTGAGACTATGAATTTCTGAACCCATGATTTCTAAAGCATTTCGCAGGGTGTACAGCCAGCTTGGATTGATGTGTTCACCAGCCTCGAACTTATCCCTATCCCTAAGACTGACACGCCGAACGGCGATGACAATCTTAGGGGTGCGCCCCGAAAAACTAAAGGGAATCCCCAAGATTGGCACTGTGAGGGGGCGGATGCCCAGCTTAGGGACAGGGACATGTTCCGGGCTGGTAATCTGCTGCAGTCCGAGCGTGTCCCTGCCCGGATCCAAGGGTCGGCTCTCTCCAAGCCTGATGGACCATTCCTGTCGGGGGCGGCAAAGAGGGGGGTGATGACTGGGGGGGGTGGATATCATGGCGTGGGCCATGATATTTCCTCAGATTTCATGGCGCGTCTTCTTATTTAATTACGTCCCCAGCCCCCCCCCCCAGAGCCGCGCACATGCCGCGGGTCATGATTCGCACCCCCCCCTGCTTGGACACCCCCCTCTTGGCCGCTCCCATTCCCGGCTCGACCAGAGCGCAAGACGTGGCGGTAGGAGTCCACCTGCCGTCCGCAGCACCCAGATCTGACGCCAGGAAGGGCGCGGCCTTCCACAGAGGGCTTGCCTGCTTACACCACCGTGCCCGGCCAGGCCTCGGTCAGGAGGGCGCATACAGCGCACCAGGGTCCAGGATGGCCCTGCACAGGCATGGTGGTGGTGGTGGTGGTGTCAATTTCTTCACGGCGACCCGGAGCATTCGACACCCTGACCTCTCTCGGGGTGTGCTATCGACCATCATTTTGAGACGGATGCGTCATTTTCAGACGAGGGCGCCCGCAGTGACCTTACACAGTGTCAGCCAGCGTGGACTCCAAGCAGTGTGTATTCCATTGTGATTGTTTTCTTATTCGTGCCTAGGCCTCCCAGATGGGGTCGGAGTAGATGGGGTCGGAGGATCGCGCCGCATCGCCGACGCATCGGCGATGCGGCCCGATGTGGAGCCCGACTGGCTCCAAGCCGACGTCGCCGATGCACCGCCCATGTCGACGCTGCATCGCCGGCGCACCGCCGGTACATCGCCGATGTATCGGCGATGCGGCGCGATCCCCCGACCCCATCTACTCCGACCCCATCTGGGAGGCCTCTATCATTGTTTTGCCGATGGGCGCGGGCCCTCGCCCCCCCCCTGTGGATGTTCTCGGCACCTGTTCCAAGCAGGTGGGGTAAGCACGGGGTTTCTGCTCCCCCCTGGGGACACGCGAATCATTGTTTTGCGCAACTGTGCATTCTGTTTTCGGGCTGGCCCTCGGGAAAAGAAGGGCTCCAGGGCGCCAGATGCGCTGTAAAGAACTCATTCCCCAAGCTGTAGCCAGTTGTTGTGAGGTCCTCTGGAAATGCAAATCCTGAACATTTTCCTTCTGCTGAATTATTTATGCTGACTCCTTCTGCTGAATTCTTTCCATTTTTTGCTAAGCTCATTCTCCTTCTGTTGATTTCCGCCTTCTTCTGCAACATTTCTCTTCCTCTTGATGCTCTCGCTTACTTCTGTGAATCACCTCCTGTAAATCGCTTTCTCCTGAAATGTTTGTGCTCCTTCTCGATTCCTTATCATTCCTTTGTGTTCAATGTTTTCATTGCTAATTCTTGTTGAATCGTTTCGTTGTTTCCAGTATTGGATGTATTCTTGTTGTGCGTACTGTTCGGTAATGTTTCAATCATGTGAAAGTTGAAGGCGATGTTTAAAGCAGTCGCACTAAGCAGAGGTCTGGAGCCAGACCCCCACTCCCCCTGTCGGCCAATGCCGAAACGCCGAATACGAAAACGGTGTTCAATCGGTGTTGTGCAATATATGTGGTGCAATCTATGTGGTGACATCTATGTGGTACAACATGTATATTTGTATATATATATATGTTGCTGGATCTATGTTGAGCCAATATAGATGGTGCAATCTAGGTGGTTCACACTATAGGTTGTGCAATCGATGTGGAGCAATATATGTGGTGCAATCGAGGTTGTGCAATTCTTTACGCTTCGCGTATCCCCACCAGCCCATCTCACAGCAGCAACTCTTGCGAAGCATGCCGACAGTCGTGTTTTTCAGGCGTGTGTCCGCTTGGCCCCGCATATCTCCCCTGTTCCTCCTTCCTCCCGCCTCCTTGTACATCCTCCTTGTGGGGGGAGCGGGAGAAGGACGAGGCGGAGGAGGAGGGAGAGAAAGCGCTCCTCGTGATTTGAGTCGTTTGGGGTTTCTCGTCCTGGTGTGAGTCGTTCGGGCCCTTCTTCCTGGTGTGAGTCGTTCGGGCTCTTCGTGGTGTGAGTCGTTCGGGCTCTTCGTCCTGGTGTGAGTCGTTCGGGCTTCTCGTGGTGTGAGTTGTTCGGGCCCCTCGTCCTGGTGTGAGTCGTTCGGGCCCCTCCTCCTGGTGTGACTCGTTCGGGCTCCTCGTGGTGTGAGTCGTTCGGGGCCCGCGTCGTGGTGTGAGTCGTTCGGGCTCCTCGTGGTGTGAGTCGTTCGGGCGCCTCGTCCTGGTGTGAGTCGTTCGGGCCCCTCCTTGTGGTGTGAGTCGTTCGGGCTCTTCGTGGTGTGAGTCGTTCGGGCCCCTCGTCCTGGTGTGAGTCGTTCGGGCTCCTCGTGGGGCCTCTTGGGGGCCTCTTGGAGCCTCTTGGGGCCTCTTGGGGGCCTCTTGGGGGCCTCTTGGGGGCCTCTTGGGGGCCTCTTGGGGCCTCTTGGGGGCCTCTTGGGGGCCTCTTGGGGGCCTCTTGGGGCCTCCTGGGGGCCTCTTGGGGGCCTCTTGGAGGCCTCTTGGGAGCCTCCTGGGGGCCTCTTGGGGCCATCTTGGGGCCTCTTGCGACCTCCTCAGAAGCGCAAATGAGCGCTGCCCCCTGAGGAGGACAAAATGAGCCCAAAACCTTCGTAAAATCAATGATTTTGCTATGAAGGACGATGAGCGCTGCCCCCTCAGAAGCCCAAAATGGGGCCGAAACCCTAGTAAAATCAATGATTTTTGCTTCAAAGACGAGCTGAGGCACCAAACTCCCCCCCCCCCCTCGGGGCCAGAATCCTCGTGAGGGTCGTCGTTTTTTGGCCCTCCCAGGCGTCGAATAAGACCCCCTTGACACCACTCGGAACTCCCTCTCCAGGTCCAGGGGGAGGGGGTAGGGGGAGGGGTAAACCCCTCCCCGAAGGGGAAGATGGGGGTTGAGGACAGAGAGAGCTCGCTAAACCACTCACGCCCAAAGGGCTGATGGGATTAATGTCTATGTTGTGCAATCCATGTGGTGCGCAATCTATGTTGTGTCATCTAGGTAGAGCAATATATGCTGTGCAACCTCTGCTGTGCAATCTATGTGGTGTAGTCCATGTGTTGCAATCTATGTCGTGATGTGGTGCAACCGATGTGATGCACTCAATGTGGCGCAGTCCTTGTCGTGGCGACGAGGCGGCGACGGGGTGGCGATGGCAAGAACGGTGATGTCGAATCAACACGAGTCGGCGACGGGGCGGCGACGGCACGCACGGGGCTGCCAAACCAACACCCAGGCCCAGACGACGGGCGGCGACGATGCGGCGACGGGGCGGCGACGACAAGCGCGGGGCCGCCGAACCAACACCGAGGCCCAGTTCCACAGACCAGGAGTAAAGACCCCCAAGTGCAAGAGCACTGATGGGGGAAAAGCCTGCCTCTCGACGCACGAGCCTCGATACCCTTCTGCGTAGCAGGAGTTCCCGGCCTGGCTCTATCCCGGCGCCTGGGCGGCGCCCTCTGCCTCCCGAGCCCCGCGCAGGTCTCATCCAGCGCAAGTTCGGCCTCAAGGCCGCTCCTCCCCCGAGCCTCCGCGCCTGGCGCGTCGCCACGGGGAAGGGGTGGAGGAGGAGGAGGAGGAGGAGGAGGGGGAGGAGGAGGAGGAGGGGGAGGAGGAGGGGGAGGAGGAGGAGGAGGAGGAGGAGGAGGAGGAGGAGGAGGAGGAGGACCAGGAGGAGGGGGAGGATGAGGAGGAAGAGGAGGAGGAGGAGGATGACCAGTGTGAAACCAAGAGTCTTCAACGATGTTGGAGTTAACCCTCCCTCCAAGCTCCCTTTTCATAGGCCCCCACAAGGGTTAATTTCCATTGAGGGAACCGCCTCGTTGGACGACAACCGTTTGAACACCCTGCAGCATGCCAAAACATTGTTCTCGGGATTTCAACGCCACGCATCCACCGGACTGCTGCGTCTTGACGATCCGGAATCGTGCCAAAGCGCCATTTTTGGGACTTCAACTTTGCGAATCAACATAATTGTTACACCCGCGTAATCCTGACTCCTTCCAAAACGCCATTCCTGGTACGTTGATCATGGGAATCCGTGAAGTTTTTGCAACTTTCGAGAACGAATGTGCGCGGCGCTAAGGCGAGAGCCACATTTTCAAAACCACCCACCCTCAATCCGTGAAGTTCTTGCACATGTTGAAAACGAATGTGCGCGGCGCGAAGGCGAGAGCCACATTTTGAAAACGTCCCGCCCTCAATTCAATAAATCTTTATACGTTTCTAAAACAGATGTGCGCGGCGCTAATGCGAGAGCCACATGTTGAAAACGACCCGCCCTCTATCCGTGAAGCTCTTGCACATTTCTATAACGAATGTGCGCGGCGCCAAGGCGAGAGCCACATTTTGAAAACGACCCGCCCTCAATCCGTGAAATTCTTGCAAATGTTGAAAACGAATTTGCGCGGCGATAAGGCAAGAGCCACATGTTGAAAGCGACCCGCTCTCTATCCGTGAAGCTCTGGCACATTTCTATAACGAAAGTGCGCGGCGCGAAGGCGAGATCCACATTTTGAAGACGACCCGCCTTATCTGTGAAATTCTTGCAAATGTTTAAAACGAATGTGCGCGGCTCGAAGGCGCGAGCCGCATTTTGAAAACGACCCGCCCTCAGTCCGTGAAATTCTTGCACATGTTTAATGCGAATGTGCGCGGCGCTAAGGTGAGATCCACATTTTGAAAACGACCCGCCCGCAATTCGTGGAGCGGTTGTCACGTTTTGAGCTTCAGAGTCATAAATGGTGAGGAAGTCTCAGCCGAAACGCCCGGCCCGCCCTGAAAACTGGCCTCGGGGTGCGAGAGGCAGGAGTTATCTAGAAGGAGAAGGAATGGAGGAGGAGGATGAGGAGGAGGAAGAAGAGGAGGAGGTGAAGGGGGAGGAGGAGGAGGAGGAGGAGGGGGAGGGAGAGGGTGAGGAGGTGGAGGAGGAGGAGGAGGAGGAGGAGGAGGAGGAGGAGGAGGAGGTGGAGGTGGAGGTGGAGGTGGTGGAGTAGGAGGTGGAGGGAGGAGGAGGGAGGAGGGAGGAGGGATGAGGGAGGAGGGGGAGGAAGGGGAGGAGTGGGAGGAGGACAAGCTACATATTGAACACCACCCGTGCTCTTTGCTCGCATTTGTATGACCCATCGGAAATAATTGAGCGTGCGGCGATAAAGCAATACAACCACCTTTTGAAAACGATCCGCCGCCCATCCGTGTAGGTGCTGGAAAATTCGAGCTTTAATGTCGTAGGTAACGAAGAAACCTCTTGGTGGAACACCAGCCCAGGGTGCTTCAGGATGATTGTGATGATGCTGTTGATGCTGTTGATGCTGTTGATGCAGTTGTTGTTGTTGTTGTTGTTGTTGTTGGTGGTGATGATGATGATGATGATTATGCTTCTGATGATGATGATGGTGATTATGATGCCGATGCTGATCATGGCGGTGATCAAGGTGATGATGATGATGGTGGTGCTGCTGATGCTGATGATGATGGGCATGATGATGATGATGATGATGATGATGATGATGATGATGATGATGATGATGATGATGATGATGATGATGATGATGATGGGGATGGTGGCGACGGTGGTTGTGTGATGATGATGGAGAGGAGTAGGTTGACATGTCTTCCCTGGACGCCCCCACCCCCAGCGCAGGCGCCCGAGGCTGTCCCTGGCGCTTCGCCTGGCGAGGCGCAGCATCTGTGGTTGTTCCACGCGGCCCCGGCGTCTACGTGCGAGGATCGACGCTTGACTCCGCTGTCGCCGACAACGCCGTCCCCGTCCTCGCCGCCGCCGCCACCGCCGCAGTCGTCGTCGTCGTCGTCGTCGTCGTCGTCGCGGTCGTCGTCGTCGTCGTCGTCGTCGTCGTCGTCGTCGTCGTGGCCGCCGTCGACATCGTGGTGGTGGTGGTGGTGGTCGTCGTCGTCGTCGTCCGTTTCGACGTTGTGAATCGTCATCGTCGTCGTCCTCCTCGTCCTCCTCTTCCTCCTCCGCCTCCTCCTCCTCTTCCGGGGGGAGGAGCAGGCGGAGGAGGGTTCCTGGAGGAGGGGGGGAGGAGAGAAGAAAACGGGGGGGGAAGAGGAGGAGAAGGAGGAGGAGGACGAGGAGGGGGAGGAGGAGGAGGAGTAGGAGGAGGGGAGGAGGAGGAGGAGGAGGAGGAGGAGGAGGAGGAGGAGGAGGATGTGGAGGAGGAGGAATGATGAGGAGGAGTGATCTTGGAGGAGGAAAGGGAGGAGGAGGAGGTGGAGGAGGAGGAGGAGGAGGAGGAGGGAAAGGAAGATTAGGAGGAGGATGAGGATGAGGAGGAAGAGGAGGAGGAGGAGGAAGAGAAGGAGGAGGAGGAGGGGGGGAGGACGGCGAGGAGGAGGAGGCGGAGGAGGAGGAGGAAGAGGAAAAGACGAACAAACATATTAATACGAATAATGATAATACCAATCGTAGCATGACTACGAATAATAACACTAGTAACAATAATAATAGTACTACGAATCATACTACCGATACTAAGAAGACAACGACTACGAATGAGACTAAGACAACGGATCATACGAAACATAACGAATTTCATATGATTCAGGATACCAAGGAGAGCGATACTAATCATACTAATAATAAGCGAAAACAATGATACGCATACTCATAAACTAGTACGAAGATGACGAAGGAGGAACACTGATTATCATCTTCGAACTGATATAGGAATAAGACTATGAAGGATCATCTTACGAAGCGAACTAGGAACGAACATCATACCCATACCACTACTTTTTATGACACTTGTTTTATTGTTCTAAAGCAATCCTAGTAATTGAGAAACTACTACTGATACGAAGACGACGAAGTCGATTAAGCTTACGAGTTCGAATACTATGCATAACACTCATACCGATACTACGACGACTACTAGCAAAACTAGTACGAGTCGTAATATCAACAAGCGACGCGAATCATACTCCTATGTACGTCAAGCTGAGAAGGCGAACCATACTAATAATAGTGTAAGTACTACTAGTAACACGAATTATAATAAGCAGTTTTATACTACGAATAGGAATGCCAATGCGATCAATAATAAGAACACTACGAATATTGCTGGTAGTAATATTAGCAATGGTACCACTACTAATAATACTACGGACACTAATGATACTAATCATGCTTCTACTACATA